TACTTGTAAAAAATTAAATTTGTCTACAAATATAACCAAAAGAAAACATATAAACAATAAAATTTTAAGTGATTCATGTTATTTATAAAAAAATTCTTATAAAAAACTTAAAAACATATTTATTGTTTGATAACAATATATAAATATGCTAAGAACATTTTCTAATTAGTAATTGAGTTGTCTATAATCAAATCTGAATCACATAATAACATATATTTGGCAGATCTGTCCAGCTACTATTTTTTGAGAGTGATGCTAGGGTTATTAATCAATATAGCAATGGCACATGCTATATTATTTGCCATAATTCTGTAGTGCCATAATGCCATAATATTATAATGCTATAATGTTGTAATACTATAATGCTATAATGTCATAATATTGAAGCAATTCTTAAAAATTCTGTATCAATTATTGTAGTGCTGATCTTCCATCTACAAATCATATTTTAAGAATCAGGTATAATGTAATATGATCAGTAAACATTCATTTTGTCAAAAATAGCATATTCTCAAAAAACCAAATACAAAACCACTTTTAGTACTTTAACAAAAAGGTTTTCTTGAGCTATTTTATTATATAATTATTTAGTCTTTTAAGTTTATTCAAAACACTAACTCTACAGTTGATAAACTTTAAAAAAAATTTTGGTTGGAATTACTTAAAATTTTACTAGAAATCACAACCACCTATTAAGTAAAAATTGTTTCTGGACTAATTTTATCATTGTGTGACTGGTATGCATACTCAATACTATATAAAATAACTATTAAAGAGTTTTTTGATAAACTTATTATAGGTGAAATATCTCTAAAATGTGATATTTTTGTAAGCTTCTTTGAAACAGTTGATCATATTTAATTAAGCAAAACATTAAATGCAGGTGCAACAACTATTCAGACTAGTCCTCATTGTAAAATAATAGAGTTAACTAAAGCATTTGGTTTAAACATATATTATCATCTTAAAACTAGTGATATCATAAACTCTTATTTAGCACTATATCAAAATGCATTAGAAATTTTTATGCAAATTTAAAAAAAATTTTTTTTGCTAAGCCTTTTACAATATAAAAGATTAAACAATAAACAAGTGTTATATAATGATATAATTGAATGGATTTGTTAAAACAGTGAGGAGTGGTCTTCAATTGAGAATGCTAATGTGCAAAGAAAAAAATTTATTAGTTGTTTGTATGATGCAATTTGGTATATTGACATGCATAATTACTTAAAACCAAAGAAACGTAGTTATCATATTTCAGAGCTATTCATGGGTTTTTTTGGCCATGTTAGCCCAAAATTATATAAGAAATCTCAGAAACCTTTTAATGCAATAGAATTAAATATTTATTATCAAGCATATACATTATATACTACATTATAGTGGATGCTAAAACCATCATTCGATTGGCTTCATAAGCTTTATAATATCTTGATTACTGTTATTTTAAATTATGTTAGCTTTCTAAAACAACAAAATAAAATTACAAAAAAAAACTATGCATAATGACCCTAGTTTGAAGCATAGAACAAGCTATAAAAATTAAAATACACAAAGTCAATACTTATATAATATCAAATAACAAAATTAAATATAATCGATTAGAAAATATACTTAAGAATTTACTTTTATAGATACCAATTGATATTGAAAACTACCTACTAACAGATTCTGTGTAAGTAAAACTAAAAATGATAATTGTTAATAATTAATATAGAATTATAATATATATTAGATTAGAATTAAGTGCTAAAGTTGTTAATAAAAGAGTATATGTGTACTTGCCATCCAAACTAAAATAAAAAATCTTAAACATAATAAAATCATTCCAAAATTACAAGTTCCAAACTCTAGAAGTTTTGTCAACAAGTATAAATATATAGAGGATAGACTAGAAAAACCATTGTTTGATATTTTTAAACAGTAATTTTTCTAAACTATCCTTCATGTGTGGGTTTAGAAAGATTTATATTTTCAAAAAGATTCTAAATTTCAACATCTGCTAATTTTAGCATCTGTTATGATAATAATTAATCTAATAACTCTTTTAGTTCAAGAATGTATTATATACAGAGATTATCCCAAGCATTTATCTTTAAACTTAATGAATTTTAATTTAACTCTAAAAATAATACATATAATGCAGTTTCAATATAGTTAATGAACTTCAGACCCATTCATCTCACTATCACATTTGTGCAATAAGAAAAAATTATTTTCATACTTGTGACTTACTTTTATCAAAAGTTAAACCTGCAGCACTTTGTACTATTTATTGTATATTAACTAGTGATTCTTTGGCACCAGAATTTGCAAATAAAGTCAAAATAGATGAAAAAATTAGACTAGCTCTTGAATTAGATGATTCTGAAGTTACAATTGATTTGCATAAACACAATCCTAAAAGACCAGATAAATTTGATGTTTTTTGAAAAATTGCAGCTAACTTTCTTTTAAAAAAAATAGCAGAATTTGTAACTGTGGTTAATGAATGTCAATATAACACGATAGTCCACTTAGCAACAGCAATTTCAATTAATAATTTATTAAATCAAATTAAAAATGAATGTCTCTAAAATATACCAATTCCAAATATACAGTAGCTTTGTTTACAATTATGGCCTAAAAATCTGACATGACTTAATAGTTTGCAATACACTAGACATCTACTTTTAAATTTATAGTACATGTAGTATTACTAATCAATTGAACTTTTAAATACCAACTAATCAATTTTAATTAATCAGTTAGTTGGTATCTAAAATTTCAATCAGACCTAGATCAAAATCTATTTTAGAATTTTGATCTAGATACAGTTCAATCGATTAGTTGCCAACTAAAAAATAACAATTAATCAATTAAAAAATTTTTGATAATTTGTAACACTAGATACAAGTTTAGCAGCTTCATATTTATTATTCTAATGCATATTATGCTTCAGCATTGTTTAGGTATGAAAAGAAATTTGCTTCAAAATTTCATAAAATTACAATATTAGTATTTTTAGATGACAAACATAATTGTAAAGTTGAAGAACTTGGATATCCAGTTGCTGCTATAGAGAGAGGTAAGCAAGTTGTTGTTAGTAAAAAATCAACATTGATAGTTGAAGATTATAACTATACAAAGACTGAAATAATATCAAGTGTTATAATGATATATGATATCTTGAAGTTAGTTGATGGTGATTTTTATGCTAAAAACATTCATATTAGATTAAAAGATGCTATTTTTTATTCTTCTTTACCAATACACTATGTAGTTGAATTATACAATATTCTTTTAAAAAAAAATATTATCAATAAACCTGTCTTATGTCTTTATACAGATAATGGCTCAGACTATTATTGTATGTTTACTAGTATGCAACTGTTATATATTTGCTTATTTCTAGCTTTAGATCTAGACTATTTTATTGTTGTAAGAACACCACCTCAACACTTATAAAAAAATTCAGTAGAACATATAATGTCTATCTTAAATCTTGGACTTCAACATATTGGTTTAATGAGAGGTAAAATGAGTGATAATTTAGAAAAATTAGTAAGTAAAACAAATACAATGAAAGCAATTCAACATTTGGCAGAAAATAACCTCATCTTAAAAAATGCCTTTATTGAAAGTGTTCAACAACCAATTCACTTAATTCATAGCATTTTTGAGCATCAATTTTTAAAAGAAGTATCTTTTGAAACTTTTGATGCAGCAACTGAAAATGAAATCATGAAATTGTGAGAAACAATTCACCTAATTAACAATAATGTATCTTAACAAGATTATTTAGCAGAAAGTATTACAAAAAGAGTAAATAAAATGCTTTTTATGTATAATAAACATAATGTAGTAGTTAATAATGAAGTTAACTGATGTTAAAAGTTGAAATAATTTTTATTTTTTTCATTTTTTTTTCTTACTATACAAATATGTGTGCCAAGAAAAACCTGTTATTAGACTTTTATATTTATAAGTTACCAGATACAATTCTTAAAAATCAATCAAAATGAGTTTAATAAGCAATAAACTTGAAACCTTGATAACAAACTTTCTTTGACAATACTTATATGTATATAGAATTTTAGTATGATTATATGTTCATATAGAAATCACAATTTTCATCATTAGTCATAGCACTTAATATGAATAATATTAATATTTGCCTTCTTGCAGCCACAGTTGAAAGAATTTATAGAACACTGTTGTAGAATAAGGCATTATTCTTTTACTATTAAAAGTGCAAAAATAAAACATATACAACTTGCTTACCACTTCAGTATTCCTAGAAGGAATTTGAACAACTTCATTACATTTCCAATTCAATCTTCAGTAAAGACCTTCATTATAAATCATTAAAGAATTATATGGCATCACTACAACAGAGAAATATAGGTTCTCACTTAAAGATGCTAAATTACAAACTACTAAGTTAAATAAAATTAATGTTGTTAGTCAAAATTTTTTTGCTAATGTTAAAATTGTCTAAATGTCTTAATATTTAAATTATTTTTTAATAATAATTTTTACAAAAATAACAATGTCAAAATTGTTAAAATTCAACTTGTCTAAATGTTTAAATGTCAATATAATTTTAACTAACACTAGATAAAACAAATATTACTATAAAACATACTATGCCATTCAGCCTCTATTCTATATATGCAAAAAAAGTTGGAATCATTGTTGTTTGTGTTGAATGTAAGAAATCATATCTGTTATTTAGCACAAAGAAATTACAATTAAAAGAATGCAAGTTGTTAGAATCTTTTTTTGATACTATTTTATACATATGCAGAATGTTATTTCATAGTATCTGTGATCTTACTTTTACCAAATTAATCAATTCTGCCAAAAGTAATAAAAGTAATAATTACCAAAATAATAATCCAAATAATAACCAACCAAGTAACAATCAACAAAGCAATAACCAATTAAGTAACAATCTACCAAGTGATGACCAATTAAATAACAATCTACTAAGTGATAATAATGTTGTTAATAATATGATTGCTAAATCTAATTGTCCTTATATAGAAAGTATAGATGTTAGTGATGAAGAAGATATAAATAATAAAAAGAATATAAATGAAGAGAATGAAGAAAATATTAATAAAGAGAATGAAGGAGATATTAATAAAGAGGATGAAGAGGATATTAATAAAAAGGAGAATATGAATATTAATAAAGAACTAGCTAAAGTTAAATCTAAAAAAATTTTTATAGTAGATCCTATCTATAAGCTTTTCTAGCAAGTCTTTATAAATATTTCTTGAAGTTGTGCTTTATTGATTGAAAAGCCTTACTATTTAGCTAGAATATTTCCTGTAGGTGTTTTTTATGTAGTAATAAAAATATAACAAAAACATCAAATAATGAACAGCCATTATGCATTGGGTGCAGTAAAAAGGTGTTACTAAAAAAATAATATAAATGGTATCTAAGTGTTAATAAAAAAAAGGAAACAGCACAGAGCTGTGTAATATATAAATTACTTTATAGAATTTTATTTTATTGTTGTCTTTATAAATAAGTTAGGTATACATAAATAAATTGGTTATACATACAAGCTTTTGTTAAAGTTGCTACTTTTATTAAAGTTTAATTTTACCAATTTTACATATTATAAGATAATGTAATCTTATTGGCTATCTACTTAATGTAATATAAAAAAAATTTTTGAATTTTTCTATTTTTGGATCTAGCTGAATATAAAAACCAGTTAATTTTATTTGTGTTACCTTATTTAATCTATTTTTTTTTTTAAAAAAAAAAATTTATTTATTGAAAAAAAATTTTTAATAAGAACTTTTTAATTATAACTATGAACTTACAAAAAGAATATTGTAACAGATCATGAAGATTTTAATCATAAATGTAGTTGTGAACATGGTTGTAGTTATAGTCATGAATGTGGTCATGATCATGAACATGGTTATGGTTATGAATGCATTCGTAGTTGTAGTTCTGAACCTAGTAAGCATAGTAAACCTAATGAATCTAGTAAATGTAGATATAGCAATAGTGAAATAGATAGTATAGATATAAGTAACAATGAAACATATAATATGGATATTAGGAATACTAGTCATAGGTATAGTATTTCTTATAATTATTATTATGATAGGCTGTATATCTTAATTTATACTTTTCAGATCATTCTATTGTATTCAGAGTAATACAAAAAGGCTAATCTAAACTTTATCTTTTATTTT